CGTGTCGTACGATCCGCTGGACGGCAGCAGCATCATCGCAACGAACTTCTCCGTTGGCTCCATTTTTGCCGTGTGGCCCGGCGCCACGCCGCTTGGGCTGCGCGTGCGCGACATGACGGCGAGCGTCGTGGCGGTGTACGGCCCACGCGCGGTGCTCTTCGTCGCGCTTCCCCAGACCGGCGTGCTGCAGTTCTACTGCGACGACGGCTGCTGGAAGCATCTTCGGCGGGCAGTGCCACGCGGCATCCGGCAGAAGGCGACGCTCTTCGCCCCCGGTAACCTCCGCGCCGCCCGGACGCTGCGGTGGTACGACGATATTGTAACGGCGTACATGCGCCGTGGGGCGACGCTGCGCTACACGGGCGGCATGGTGCCTGACGTGTGCCAGATTGTTGTCAAGGGCGACGGCATCTACATGACGCCGGAGAGTCCTGGGTACAAGATGAAGCTTCGGCTGCTGTTCGAGGCGGCACCAATGGCGTTCCTCGTGGAGTGCGCCGGCGGCCGTGCAACGACGGGAACGATGAATATGATGGACGTGCGCGTGGAGGAGATTGAGCAGCGCACTGCAATCGCTCTCGGCTGCCAATGGGATGTTGAACAATATGAACGCATGTGCCGGGCCTATAATAATACCAAGATGAGCAGCAGTGAAGGTAAGCTGTGAGCTTCAGCAATAATCATGCAAGTGCAACGGAGCACAAGAACAATATCATCTTTGCCGCCAGCATCAATACGAACAACAGAAAGGGCCTCCATGTAGTGCGCCCTTTTTTTTTTGTTGCAGTCGCGTGTCGTGCTGTCGTTGCGGATGCTTGCTGCGTGGTTCCCACGACTGCTTGAGGACCATGGCGCAGCAGTCTTTGGGGGTCTTTTTTTTTTCTTGTGTGTCTTTGAACATGGACGATTTACTCTGTGGCATGTGGGGGCTCCTCTACCGCCTTGACGTCCATTTTTTTTTAGCTCTCCTGCATACTATCCGCTTGCTCCACACGTGTACTCCCCGCGAAACACACCCAAAAAATATCAAACAAAAATAAAAAAAACAGGAAAGGAACGCAAAAGGAAGGGGAATGAACGAAACAGGGTCGAGCGGAACGGCAGCAGCAGCAGCAGCAGATGTGCCGCCGGAGACAATTGAGGATGTGCTTGCCGGTGCCATGTGGGTGACGGGCCTTACTGATCCCGCACTGTGCCTCGATCGCCTCCACGAGACGTTCAACGAAGTTATCTTCAGCTGCGTCGAGCAGGAGCCGGAGACGGAGGAGCTCGTCGGGCGGCTCAAAACGGCGGCCGACCGCCAGCGGGAAGAGCGGGCAAAGGAGGACCTCCGTCGGGCCCTGATGGAGCTGCAGGACAACACGTACGTGGACGATGGGGTGGATGAGGAGGAAGAGGCGGTAGGCAGTGCGGCAGCGGGGGACGGTGATGACGACGACGACGAAGACTTCTCTGATGATTCGCAACTCATGGATGATGAGGAGTTTTTGTCGTGGATCCACCGCAACGACGCTCAGCGCGGCGAAGATAATGTGGAGTTGATTGCTGGGCCTTCTGCCGATGGTACCACTGCTACTAGCGGCGTGGAGCTCGAGTTGCACCGCGTCGGCCTCAGCGAAGAGGACAGACATCTGACGGAGGACATCCTGCCGGAGCGGTTGAAAGCGATTGAGGTAAAGGAGAGGCGGCCACGGCTTGGCTCACGACAGTTGCTGCACGGATACTCATACAGGATCCCGTTGGAGTACGAGGCCTTCTGGATCCTCCGACAACTCCGCAGCGCTGGACAGCCGCTAGCGCACAACACGCGCATCTGCGCCATCGCGACACGGCCTCCTGCGGAAGTAGCGGATGAACCGGTTGTTGTTGCTATTGCCTACGCACTGCGAAAGATGACGCAGGAGTACTTGGAGCCCGCACATCTGATGATGTATCACCAAAGTGCGCTGCATCCGTTACTGTGCGCCGTGCTGGAGGCCTCACCGCTCATGGAGTCGGCAGAGTGTATGCTTCCTGTCGCGTCCTATGCGTACAGCTTGGAAACGGGGCGGCGACAGCGTCCGTACGTGTCTGAAACTTATGTTGGCTTCTCGGCGGTAGCTGACCGCCCCATTGGAGATGAAGACCTCGCATGGCGGCGTCTCGATGGCGAAAACAACGATTTTGCACAACGCAAGCCGTGCTTTATTGAACTCGGCCGTATTTTGGTGCGCATCCTCGAGCTCGACGTGCTATGCCATCGTCTCGAATGCAATCGGCAGCAGCTTTTGCTAAAGCTTAAAGACCAACCGGAGTCGAGTGTGCAAGAGCAGCGGGTTGCGTTGGAGGGTCTCGTATTTGAGAGCGGCATAGAGGCGGATCTCTGGCAGACATTTGTCAGCTCCCTCACTGCAAGCCGTGGCCGTGGCCCGACGCAAGTATTGAAGTCTCTCGGCCTGGAGAACGCCTTCAAGGAGTACACCATCACTGGACTGCAGTACCAGGAGAACCTGCTTGCCAATGCGCCGATTCACGTGTGCCAGTCGCCGCAGTCGACGCCACTGATGGAGTGGGCGCAGCAGGTTGGTGCCACTGCACGCACACCGCGCTCCGGTGAGGCGGTACTGTCTCTCTTCAACCAGGCGATTGTGGAGCAGTTCTCGAAGCTTCCAATACTCCGCAAGCGACTGTTTGATGTCTTCTGTGCAGAAGGTGACCTCATCGTCACATACAAGCAGTGCAAACGTAAAGATGACGTGTACCCATTAGCAACCTTCTTTGTTGAGCACCCACGGCATTACCTCGACCTTCTTGAGCGTGAGCGACAGGGGAGTGTGGGGCTCTACTACGTCCTCAGCGAGGAGCTTGTGCGCCGCGAGGTGAAACTGCGTCAGCTGTACGACCGCTCAGCTACTGATGAATGGTCAGCCGAGCGGGAACGGGCGATGGAGCTGCTGTTGCTGCGGCTGGTGGATGGGCTCATCCCGAAGGTGAAGGCAGAGCTCAGCCAATTTGCACAGCATTGCGTGCAAACACAGAGTGTCGAGCGTCTTGGCCTCATGTGCGCACAAGGCCCGTACGAGCCTACGCGTTTGTGCCTTGCTGCGTTTGATGAGGATGTGCTTGCATGGGAATCAGAGTGGAATATCGTTGAGGCCCTCCCACTCAAAAGGGTGCTTGGCCACGGTCGCCAACCGCTCCCGCGTGTGTGTGCTGCTTACCGCAGCGACACTGGCGTGACGTACCTGAGCTTTGTTGATGAGGCCGGCTGCTTTATTGGCTCTACGCGGTGGGCAGACTGTGCCCTAAATTCCGAGAGTGGCCGGGCGGCTGATTTGCTGCAGAACATCCAACTGGAGAAGCTGTTTGCACGATGCAATCCCACTGTGATTGCTGTTGGTGCTTCCAACGTGGAATCGCTCTCGCTCATGCGCTCGCTGCTGCGGTTCTTACGGGAGCGTGTGTACGCCACATTCCACGTGCACATCCCTGTTGTGTGGGCGCCAGTGGAGGTGGCGCGGCTTTACAGTAGCACGACATACGCTGACCTTGAGACCCCTGGTGCGGACCCGCTTTCCCGTACTTCGGTGGCGCTGGCACGGTACGTGCAGGACCCACTCAGCGTCAGCTGTGCCTTGTTTGACAAGGAGCGGACGGCGCTGCGTCTCTCACTCGGTGCAACTGTGCACACAACGAGTGAGCAGGAGGATCAGCTGTATGTGCGGATGTGCTGGGAGATGAGCCTGTGGGTCACGGCTTGTGGCGTCTGGGTCGAGGATTGTGTCACACGTCCCAACTCTGTGGCACCGCTGCAATTTCTGGCGGGGTTTGGCCCATCACGGGCGCGCAAGTTGCACCAACTGCTGGCGTCACGGCGTCCGGTGAGCCGCGAGGAGTGCGGCCACATTATTGCGGAGAGCTTCGGCGACTACGTTGCACGCAATGCGACGTGTTCGCTGCGAGTGGGGCCTCCGACTGACGGAAGCTCTGGCGATGCGACTTCACTGTCTCGCTGGCATCTGCTCGACCAGACGCTGCTACCACCGCAGTGGTACGGCGCCGCCGCTTTCGTTGCGCGGGCTGCACTGAAGAACGTTCCGTCAAAACTCGTCGCACTGGTGGACTTCATGCGGTTGGAAGCAGCAGAGAAGCGCGACCGCATTGACCGCCATGCACACCAGCAGGACATGACGACCGCTATACGCCAGCAGCACCGGCCAGAGTGGGAGTCGCTGCTTGGCGAACGTGAGGTGGAGCTGCTGCAGGAGGAGATGATAGCGGCTGGAAAGTCGTTCCTGCGGCGACCTTACCGACGGCTGTCGCACCGCGAGCTCATGACGTGCTTGACTGGCATCGTGTACTGCACACGGGGTGACGCGCCCTTCACAAGCCGCGCCGTTGACACAAGGTCGCTGATGATCTGCGAGGGCGACTACATGACAGGAACAGTGCAGGGCGTACGCGGTGGCGGCCCAATGATTGGCGTCCGCCTCGCAACGTCGTGCGGCCTTGGCGCCTTTATCGCCGCTGACGACATTGACGACGACACAATGAAACAGGAGGTGCTGCAGCATATCCCGCCGCCGCGTGAGGCGGGTGGTGCGGTGCAGCCGCCGCCGCTCCACACTGCTGTTGCGAGTTGGCTGCGCCGCGGTGCTCCCATTCAGGGTATTATAATCGGTTGCAACTGGGAGCGGTGTGAGCTGCGTCTGCGGTGGTGCCGCCCACGCGACGCCAATCCTGGCAACAAGCACAAAAACAACAACAACGGAAACAGGAATAATAAGCGAAACATGACGCAGGACGAGGAAATCGAGAACGATGATGATGATGATGATGATGATGAACACTATGTCTCGTACGCCGCGGTTATTAATGATGCGGCGAGTAGCGCGAACTCCCTTCGCACGGTGCGGCTGAATATGGATGCGCGTGTCTTTGCGACAAAGATATCACGCCACCCGCTCTTCCGCGACACCAGCAGCGCCACCGCGCACGCGTACCTGCACGACAAGAAGATTGGGGAGGTCATTCTCCGCCCTGCAACCGGCACGCGCAACAAGGCGATTGCGGTGGTGAAGATTGGCGAGCGGTCCATGTGTAACTGGCTTATCAGTGAAGAGCGCCACTCGGACGGCGCCATCTACTATCGCCTTCGGGACAAAGTGACCGGTCGCGAGGCGGAGTTCGGCGACGTGGATGAGTTCCTCAATGGATTCATCGCGCCGATGGTGGCGCTCGTGCGCGACATCCGCGAGCACCGGCGCTTCGTTGAGAGCGCGCGTGAAGTGCAGGATGCCCTCGATGCACAGAGGCGCAGCGGCCTCGGCTTCACGTACGTCTTGGCGGAGGTCGGCCAGCAGTCACGGCCGCCGTTTTACCGCGTCTTTACACGTGGTGGCGCGACGGAGCGCAACTTCTACCTGCACATCGACGACAGCAGCATCTATGTGCGTGTGCCGATCCGCCGTGGCGGAAGGGGCGGCGGCGGCGGCGTCGACCTCAAGTGGGTAAAGTGCCGCAACGCGGAGCATGTCAGCGAAGTCGTGAAGGGCCTCGCACGGCCTCGCTAACGCGTTGCCGCCAGAAGGAGCGCAATTGGAAGAAAAAGGAGAGGAGGGTGCGTGAGGGGGAGAGGACCAAGAAGAGGGCTGTGCGCCGCTGCTGCTTCTCGCCGAATTGGGCGGAGTTGCAGATGACGGTAGATGGCTTNAGAGGACCAAGAAGAGGGCTGTGCGCCGCTGCTGCTTCTCGCCGAATTGGGCGGAGTTGCAGATGACGGTAGATGGCTTGTGTGCCAGTGAGACCGAGAGAGGAAAAGAGAGAGAGAGAGTGTGTGTGTGTGTGTGCGAGATGTGTAGAGGAGGCGCAGTGCCAGGCTGTGTGTACCCGCTGTGCCCCGCAACGCTTCTCTTTCGCTCGGGCTCTCCTCGTGCTGTTCTGCTTCTGCTAACACTGCACTTACTTCATGCACTACTACTACTTCAGTTAAAAGAAATGACACCAACACCGCGTGAACAAATAGCCTGATGCTAGATATGAGGTGTATCTCTTAAAGCGTTCGTCCAGACGACACACACTCCAACACATCTTTGTGTGTGTGTGTGTGTGCGTGTGCTTGTTTGTTTGCCATTTGTGCTTCTGCTGTCCTTTTTGTGAAACGAGCACTGCACTAAATGACATGCGGTCTTCTTTCTGTTCATGTTTTTGGATGCATTCTGTGGAGTGAGAGGGAGAGACTCGGCCAGAGAAGCAAAGGACTCGGGAGCGGACGTACAAAGAAGAAAAAAGAACAACAACAACAACACCAACAGCAGTGGTGTGTTGCGGTGCTATAAATTGCGGGGTTTGGGAGAAGAGCAAGCGGTTAAGTAAAGGACCTAAACGTTGTGTGTTTGTTTTTTCGTGGTTTACCCACCTGCGGCAATTCTTGTTAGTCGGTAGCAAAGGCGCGATGGGGCGGAAGCGGGCACAATTTATCCTCTCACAACTTGCACGGCTCTACCCTGAGCAGCACAAGAGCCTTGTGCACGAGGCGGATCGTGTGGAGCGTCAGGCGCGGCACGGTGGCGAAGACGCACGTCTGCTGGATCGCTGCACCTCGCTGCTGCAGGAACTACAGACACAGCAGCACTTAGTGCCCTACGTGGCGCAGGGATGCCCCGCCTGCCTGACGGCAGTGTTGGCACGTGTCAGCAGCAATAACGACATGGGTGGCGTGATGCTGCGTCTGGCGACACTTCTTGCGGCATCGGGGGGCCTAATCGACGCGGTGATGGACGGCATCAGCAGCAACGCTGCGGCGTACGTTGCACACGTTTGTGACCGTGACGCAGAGTCAGCGCAGCTGGCAGGTACGCTGCTGAGCACCGCAGTGCATTTAGCCTCCGACGGCGAGCAGCTCGCAGCGCAGTTACTGCTTTTAGGAGGAGACGCGGACTTCTGGCAACAATTCGACAGCGCCTTCCTCGATGCTGAACCGCAGCGGCCCACGGCTGTCCTCTCAGTGTGTCTCAGCCTCTTGCGCGCGTGTTGCGGGGCTAATGGTGCCGTGTGTACCGCCGTCGCTGCGCGGCTGCCGCGACTCTGTGCGCTCGAAGCGGTGCGACGTGACGCGCAGGTGAGGGGCGAGGCGCTGCAGCTGCTCGCGGTTCTGGGCACTACCGTCGGAGAGACAGACCGTGGCAGCATCGCCGAGTTGCACGCGGCGCTTGTGGCACCAGTGGAGGAAGATGACGACAGGAACGAGAACAAGGCCGCGAACGGTGAGACGGAGCGGACGTTCAGTGAGGCGTTGGCGGCTCTCGACGATGAGATCCCCACTGTGGCACTGAGTGCGGTGCTCGACTCGCTGCAGAAGAACCAATTTGACAGCGAAGCGCGGCTTCAGGACCTTCACGCGATCGCGCGGCTGCTTTTCGCTCCGCGGGACCCGGAGGGTGTGGCGGCTGCGCTGCTGGTGCTGATGCCGGGCGCCATTAAAGGCGTCTTCGCAGCAGCCAGTGACGTGGACGAGAGCCTTAGCGCTTACGCCTGTACGATTCTCGCTTCTGCCATTGACGGCAAATGGGTGGCGGCAGGGGAAACACACCAACATCTAGACGATCAGCGTAAACATCTCTACAAAGACTTTGACGCGTCGTACTATCAGAAATGCCTGGTGGAATGCTTTTTCCTCCTTGGGGGTGTTGTGCTGCTGGAGGATTTGGTCACGGATTACAGCAACGGTGTGGTCGTGGCCGCGCTGCGGCTGGTGCAGTCGCTCCTGCGCTTTTCGGACAGCGCACGTGACGTCATTTTGGCGTCAAAGTGCATCAGAAACTTGAGTGAGGCTCTGGATACCATCAGTCAGGATGGGAGCCTCGCCAGCTTGATACAGTGCGCCGACGAGGAGTCGGTGCTGCTACACGGGCTCGACACGATTGCGATGCTGAGCGGTGAGGAGGTGCGACTGGTGCCAGAGAACACTCTTGCTTCCATTGGTACCATCGCCACGGGGGCACGGGCGAACTCGAGGGTGTTGAGCACCGCCATTCGAGCACTTACGCTCCTCGCCATGGCGTACCCGATGGCGGCCACACTTGTGCTAGACTACGATTACCTCAGCAACGTCCTTGCACCAGACGGTAATGACGTCGATGACAACAAGGACATCAACAGCAACAGCGCACCAAGCGGGATTGACTCCATATATCTTGTTGGGTCCTTCGACATTATGGCCGCCATCGTTGCCCAGCAGCCGTCGAGCGTCACATTTGAGTGGATCGAGACGCTCGCGGCGGCATCTCGGAGGCTACAGGACTGGGAGACTGAGGTGCCTGGCTACGCCGCTGCGTTCTGGAACGTTGTGCTGCAGACCGTTGTGGCATCCGATGATGGCTTGGCGTACCTCTTCGAGGATGAAGAGTTTGTCCAGGCTCTCCTTAGCGCCCTGACTCGCTCCTGCCGCTTGTCGCTGCCGGTCAAACGTAGGGGGCGCGACGATGGCAGCGGCGGTGACGATGCGGTAGATGACGCGTGCTGTGATGGGAAGCGCACTCAGGCGGCCGCAGAGTTGCTTCCGCTGCTGGTACAAGTGGCGAAGCACATGCCGTCGGTGCAGTCGCGGCCGCTTCCGGCGGGGGCGGGGCTGCTGCTCGAGGCCGTCGCGCTCCTCGTCGCCGC